GATTGAGATGGTGCAAAATCAATCCTTAAAATATCACTAAGGGTTATCGGTGACTTGATTTCAATGAAAACGACAGATATATATATGTATATTGAGGACTTGAAAATTATGCTATCTGCCCTTCTATTATTAAGTCTTCTGTCATTCACGCTCAAAACACATATTGCCAGAATATTCTCACAATGATCCTAACTCAACAGTATGAATTTCGCAGTATAATCTCATGTTTTATGTTCTAATCTCGATAACTGCACATTTGAACACATTTAAACGCATCTGAATGCGTCTATAAACCACTTAAACATATGATGCTTCCAAATGCGTCCGAGAATCAAGTGCGTCTAAATACGTTTGAGCTTCAAGCGCGTGTGGCCGCCTTTGAACGCATCAGATGTTTCATTTTAGCTGCGTTCAGCAAATAGCGTTTCAAATACCGCCAAAACGCGGTTCAGAATGCGTTTTCACCTCTGACATTTTCACATGGGATGTACAAAATGTTTTGGAGAATAGTACTACTACATTTTCAAAAGTTTGGCTTTTTGCTCTGAAGTCTAGAAAATACTACTTCAAAAAGAGTCATCTTTTACATAGGTTAAGGTCAGAAGCTAGTTTCATAGTGTGTCAGTCTAGTCAGCAAGAAGGATATATTCAATTTGAAACTTTTAGCATTAAAATTGCAAAGTTATGTTGTTTCGTTAGAACTATAACAAGTTAATCGATTTCAATGAACAAGCAATAATTTTGATTGAAACTCTTCGAGAAAATGCTTTTCCCATTTTAAATTCACAAGAAAATTCTTTTAATTGGTTAATCAAAAGTATTCGACTCTTTTCTGATAACTATAGTTCGTGCACTTGTCTGTCTCTCCTCCTATTAAACATATTTTTCTTTGTATATTTCTTTATTATTAATAAAATCTCATTACATGATGAATTTTCATGAAGAAAAATAAAAGTTAAATAAATTGAATAGAAAATTATGAATTAATTGAACTAATAACGTTTTTTAAAAATTGATTTGCACCATATTCTTCCTTAGGTGTTCTTGTTAAACCGAAACGAACGATGACTAATTTTTTCGATGGAATAATAAATACATGTTGTCCATTGAAACCAGCTGCATAAAACAAATCTGTCGGTGCATTTGGAAATGTTCGTGTAGAAGAATTATTATTTTTTTCTGTATTTAACCACATATGAAGTCCATATTGACCATATTGATTGGAACCAGCATATATTACGGATTGTTTTATCCATTCTTCGGTTATAATTTGTTCATTATTATAATATCCATTATTTAAAAATAATAAGCCAAATCGTGCCCAATCACGAGCAGTACCCCAAGAATAAGATGAACCAATAAAAGTTCCTGATCCATCAACTTCCATAATAAAACTTTTCATACCAAGTTTTGAAAATAATCTTCGATAAGGAAATGAATGATATTCGTTTTCGCCAACTGTATGACGAATTATTCGTGCTAATATATTCGTACTTCCACTAGTATAATAACAATGAGTACCTGGTTTATATTTTAATGGATGTGAAGCAGCAAATGCAGCCATATCACTAGTTTGAAATAACATTTGTGTCACATCACTTTTCGTAAAATAATCTTCCTTAAAATCTAAACCACTTGTTTGTTGTAATAAGTGTTTTATTGTTATTGAATGACGTGGATCGTCGGGATTATTCCATTCAGGTACGGGAGCAAACTCATCGATGTTTAATTTTTTATCTTTTACCAAAATTCCAATGAGTGTATTAATTATACTTTTCGTCATACTCCAACCTAAAAATTTCGATTTTCTTGAAAAACCTGGAGCATATTTTTCGCTTATTAGTTTTCCATCATACAAAACAATAATTGCTCGTGTACGAATAAGATTAGCTGGATCTTTTTCAATAAATAAATCGCTTATCGCATTTTCCATTTGTGTTTTATTGATGTTTGATGGAAAACTTTCATCATCTATTTGATCACCCATAGGCCATGGAATCTGATCTTGATTTATATCAGATGGTATTTCAACATGAAATTTTTGACCACGAATTTCTTCTTCTGTTAATTCATTAATTAATGTTGCACCGAGTCTATTCCGATAGATCGCTTTTGCTTGAGCAAATCCAAATATAGAACTAGTTACAGATAAATCAGTGTAATTAATATTATATGTTGCATATTTCAGAGGAAAAACGTCAAGATCTTCTTGCTGTTGTTCTTCACTACGGTCAGCTATGAACACTGATGAACATATATGTTTAGCTACATATCCACTAATTATAGGCAACGAAACCCAATAATAATGAATACCATAAGCCAATAGCACAGCAGTTATAAACAATATTATGCCTCCTTTCATAAGCCTTCTTACACAATCTTTGCTGTTTTCTTCTCTAAAACAAACAAGTATACATTTTCTATTTTAATTAAAAAAGTCATTTTTTTAGAATGTGTTCATTATAATGTGTAGAGATCTTTTTCGTAGCAGTATCGTATTTTTTTTATCTGATCGACTGAAAAATTCAAGTGTTTTATTTCAGTCTATCGAGATGGATCGACAAAAAACAACAACCGTAGAGTTAAAATTGATCTAACATCATCACTGTGTGTAAAAAGAAAAAGCAAAGAATAAAGTTTACTTGATGTTTGAATTATCAACACCGGCCGATAATTGTTATCAAATGTAAAATAAAAAAGAAAAGAAATCTTTACAGGTAAAAGTAAAGTTAATTTTGATAAATATTATCAACAGATACGGTTCTTTCTTTCTTTCTTTGCAAATAAAACTTCTATGACGCATTCATCTTCAATTCTCAGTTGTAAGACATTAGTTAAAACTCAAAATGTAATTTCTAGCGTTGATGCATATATCTGATGTGAGAAGTACGTTCATAAAAGAATGAGTTATTTATTCTATTTTTAGCATAATATTTTATGTAATTACTGTGGACGTGGTTACATTTATTAGAGTTGAATATGAACTTTCTGATGTAAAGTGTTCTCCATATTTTGATAGCATTACTGAAATAGAGACAATTCTACTATTGTATGTAGAGACAGAAGTGACTGTCCTGAAAACTCGATCAACATTAACATTTACGATATGGAAGGTGTGAGATGTCTTATTGAATATGGTAGTTTACAAATAAATATTTCATTTATTAAATCACCAATAAATCTATTCGAATACCGAATATCGATAACTTGTGTACAATAGGTTTTACTATTTCAATATTATATGAATAACTCAAACAAATCAATGTGACTGTCATGGAGACCATGGTTCTTCTTATGTATCGAAGCCAATATTGAGATTTTGTTGCAAATAGGTTCTCTTTCGAAAAGTTCTTTAACCGACAGAACGTTCTATAACAAATATCCAATAAAAACTTGAACAATTTTCTTTCTCTCACGATGTTTCAGCAATTCTGATTGGTCGATGAACTACGTGAATATATCGCAATATGTTGTGAAGATTTGATGACACACTCTTCGAACTACTCAGGCCGGTTTGTTCAAGACACATGATCACTGATGCGACATTAGTTACTCAATCGACGATTATCCCGTTGTACAAAGCCTCTTGTACGAGCAATGATTTTATACTCGTCGTTGTAAAAAGTGATTTATTTATTTATTCATTAGATCAAGCTAATTAAAATGCATGTCTTTCTCAATTCTTTGGATGAATTGATCGTCAAGAAAATGTTCGATGCGTACTAAACTAAATTTGAAACTAGCAAAGAGCAGCGTCAAACACAAACGAGTTAATTTAAAAAATTCTATACTAAGAGTTTCTCTACATAGGTCAAGTTAACTTTTTTTGAGCAATTACCTTTTCTGATTTTCAATTGAGACTCCAAAGACGTGTACAAACCGCTGTCATTAGATGTCTGCCTATTCATAGCATTCATTTAAAATAGCACCGGTTTCCAAAAGAGCGTTACAATTAAATAGAATTCAATTGAAAAATTTACCAAAGCTTCATAAGTATGACAGTGGATCAACTACGTCTACAACCTAACTTAAAAATCAATCAAGACGAATATTCCATGTAATTATACGAGAATGTCGCTATGCATAATAGTGATGAGTACACTTTATTGCATAGATAGATATGTCAATTTGTAGAAAGATTGATTCCCTCGCAAATGCATCATCAATCTTGATGAAGATTATTTCTTTTAAATTCATTTTGTCAGGCGAATAATCGAATGTAATTCTCACCTCATCAATATAAATTATATCTAATAAGTGAAAATATGTAGTTAATTGTATTTGTTGTCTTCATCTTGTTGTACTTCCTATTTATTTACTTATTAAATAGATCAGGTAGGAAAAAGTATGGCAGCTACTCACATAATTTTCGTCTTGAAAACAATCATTTCCACTAAACTGATGACACGGTATGCAACTACGTTGTGTATAAAAGTCGCATATATTTAAGTCAGTTATTCTCATTCTTCACATGAATATAATGCAACGATATCTCTATACAATTGCATTTACAATGTAAGTAGCTCTGATGTGATAAACTAATGATTTGATGGATATTGATTTTTAGATTTCCCCTCTGTGTTGCCAAAGGTAAGAGCAACACGTTTAGTTCAGTTATCTGAGTGATAATCCACCATAAACGCATGATACTTACATTCACTATGTTTTTTCTTCGCTTTCAATGAGATTACATTGACAAAAAAGTTATTCTTCCAGTAATGATTTCCATTTATTATTCGACTTCATTTCTGTATATGATTCATTTTAGGTCAAGCGACAGCTTCTACATCTATAATTCCTGATTATTGTATTCCATCACAATGTGGAGCAAATTCAGCGCCATGCTCAACAAATCTTGACTGTTACTATCTGCAAATGATATTAACCAGCGATGGAATTTCTATGCCATTCTCGTATCGTGTTCTGACATGTACTTGTGTGATAGCAATGGGTACCGTTCGAAGCCGAACGATGTATACATCAATAATACGCGATGCAGTATGCCTGTTTGTTATCCATATGATCGTTATTTAACACATCCATGTCCTGAATTACCAACAACTGCTAGTGCTATTAGAAATAATTCTCGAAACGACACTGTTCGTGAATATTATAACAGCTCCCAATTACAATACAATGACTAACATGCTTTCGTAACCATATATTTGCTAATATGGTAAATTGTGCAATGTTCTGCTATAAAAGAATCAACCAGATAGCAAAAGGGTGAGTGTGGGTTTGTTTTGATTTCCCTAACACCCACACCGTCTTAATATAGATCAATGGTTGAATGAAAGTGTTGCTGTTGAACGCACTATTACAATAGTAAACGTTACTCATTTTCGAAAGAAAACAAGTAGAAAAATAGCTAAAATAGTGATTATTACTCTTTTGATTTTCATTATCAGTACTACTATTTACGATCTTTCTTATCGGCGTTTAATTAATGAAGAAAATGAAGATAATAAACGCATATGGTGTATTGCTATTTATCCATCTAGTTTACAAATATTCCACTGTATTATGCATATATTTCATGTTTTACATCCATTTATTATCAATCTAATATCACCTGGTATGCTCATAACGAAAAAAATCTCGTCAACAATTCAATCATTGACATGATCAAAATCATAAACAAATTTTAAAAGAACAATTTCAACAACATAATCACTTATTTACAGCGCCTGTTGCACTTGTATCAAAACATATGAAATCAACAAATGATGTATGGTTATTTCTCATTGGATATTTTATTTCATTTTTGCTACCTATGCTCACATTTATTGTATTTATATTACCATCAGAATCTTACAAAGAACAACTTCGTAAAACTATTACAGCTTATCGACGTAAAATATGACGACGTTTGAATTATACTATATAAAAAAGTAATTAAAATGATTTTTATTTTAAATATTTATCAGTCTAAATAATTATATTCATTCTTCCTTCTTGTTGAGTCGGTTGAATGTTTTTCTTTGAATTGCTGTATGAAATGATGTAGTTGAGTATTGAACCATATGTCAGAAGTCTTGTACCGGACCAATCTCTGAAATTTGCAAAGTATTTTCAGCTGAACTCTTGGGTCAGAAAGTAGTATATCCTTATCTTATTGTGACAACTGGCTTCGGATCAACAGCCAACTTGATAGGCTCTACGTTTGAGTCATAGTTATTAGACTTGCTATGAAATAGAAACTTGACGTAAGCGTTTCCTTTTTGATAAGCTTAAATGATACTCTTTGAGTCGTTCATAAATATACAATTATAGAGCTTCCTTTACGTGTCATTTCAGCTGCTATCAGATAGTACATCGAATGTTTTGATTAACATTTCCCATCGATAGACAAGAAAAAGTTGTTAAAATTCTTATATTGATTTTCAAAAAGATGGAACCCTTAAGTATATATCGCTTTTTTTTTGATAGAGGATACAAAGTATAAGTTTTTGAGGATTCTAGTTGAATCATTACAGTAAATGTAAATTCTATGATCAAATCTCAATTAACGAATGAACTAATATTTAAAAAACTATCATAACGCAATTACATCCGGTTTTGACGTGATTTTAAAGAATTTCTTTTTTCAGATAATTCATTCATCTATCCTGTGAAGACACAATGAATATGAAAACAAGTTTAAACAGTTTATTTTTGTCTGTATTGCTTTCATTATATGTTAAATTTGTTTTGTTACTTTATTTTTTCACCATATATATATTCTTAAGTGCGAACTGATCTAATGTTGTATTTTTATTTTAATCATATCATTTCAATGAAAAAAATTCTTTAAAAATGGTTTGTTTTTGTCAGACTTTACTTTTTGTTTTAATATGATTTTAACATTCACCAATTTGTGACATTATTTTCAGCAAAATTATACTTAGTTTGTTTGCTTTCATCGTGTATGCATAGCTTTCAATTTAAACAAATAAATGGAATTAGCATGCCAATTTAGAACTATAAACATTTATTTCTATTTCACTCAACAATATATAATCGATAAAATATTAATGTATGTCATTTCGAAATGGTCAACAAAAACATCATGATGTGATCGAAAACTCGAATTTCGCTATTGTTTTCTAGTTGTTCAGTCGATTGACCAAAAAGTGGCCTCAGTATGCCATTGATCTATTTAAAAAAATGAGACTGTTCATACTATATCATTTCTGATTTGAAAATACTCAAACCGTAATCAGCTGAATCACCACAAAAAGCTGTAGATATTTGATAACAAGTAGATGTGAATAAGATACATGAAGTACAAATGTTTTCTGCTATTCGTCAAGAATTCTTTCGGAACAAATATAAAAAGAATTCTGTTTAGTTTCCGAATCAAATGAACGTTCTCTATATTATCAATACTTTACATGAGTATCGAAAATTTAAAAAAAGGATTGAATTAGTTTAGATTCAAAGTTAATAGTTGATGATGATGACCCAGATATGGGCAAAACAATGACCAATCTCAACACATTGCATGCCTTGGATGATAACTATGAAAACTGCCAAGAGTTTTGAGAAATCTTTTTAACTGGAACACCTCCTGTGCCGCCAATATGGAGTGAAAAAGTAAATATCGATAATGCTGTTGATTTGGCTGAAGACTTAGCGTTTGCATGGTTCTGACATTTATGAATGAATACCTTCCATCAATTAATATGCTCTGTCTTCACTATGTGTACATGGGTGTGGGTGTGCGTTTGTGTTTAGGTGTGGATGGTCTTTTGTACTCATACCCACACCAACACACCACCTTCGATGGAAAAAAGAGGTCTACAAATTTTTCAAAATACTGATAAGTCAGTTCCATTTTGTATGCTGATTCAGAATATCATTTTAGTTTCGATTCAATCTTCATTTTTGTGATCAAAACCAGCTGAATACTAGAAAAAAGAATAATAATTCAAATTACGTCTTAATTAGCTTGTATTCAATATAAATACATTTATTTGATGAGACAAAGCTTCCTCAGCATAAGTTCTGTGGTCCTAGAGCACTTACAACACTATTATTGCTAGAAAAAAGAATATTTTATTCCTTTACTTTATCTTTATTTTTTAAAAATAAAGAATTAATTTAGCTTTATTCTTTAGTATAAACGATAGTAAAGATGAAGAGTCACCCCTAGTATAGAAAGATACTTATATAAATAGACATCCATTTTTAGGGAGTTTTTTGAGCCATTGAACTCATGGTACCTTTTCTCCACTTAAAAAGTACAATTTAAAAAAAGCGCTGCAGTAGCCACTGCATCCTGACATGTTTTTTCAAACAAAAAAAAAGTTAAATATTGTTTCAAAATAAGAACATTAGGATCTTTTTCCGTTATTTTTGTGAACATATTTATTGAACTGCAAAGATAAATATACGAAAAAAACCATCTATTTATCCAGATAGCGAGCTTCGAATCTGAAAACCGCTAATGGCACTATTGCGTTGAAGCCCAATCGGTCACTATTCATAATTTCGAAGTGAGTATCTATTAACTGCCACTTCCTTGACCTTGATATCGTTGAGCACACCAAAGCGTAATGACACGAGTCAGTATGAATGGAATATGTCTCTCGTGAACACGTTCATAAGCCGACTTGTTTGACACTAGCCAATTCGCTTTCTTCATTATCATCATTTGCAGCGGCATCGCAAATATGAAATGTAAGATGGATATGCTTTAATTGTTGCCGAATTTTGTATAATTCAGTACCATAACTATCGATCACTGTGAGCTTGTCACCAAGAGCAAAAAGTGTCGACTTAACGATATACAAACAATGATCAACTTCGTTCATAATAGAGAATTCTTGATCGAGCGAAGTGGGACGTTCTTCAATTTTAAAGCGCCGTTTACATGCTGAAGTCATTTTGTTGCTGTGATTGCTTGTAATTTAGTATTTTACACAAAAATGAGCAAAGGATGTGAGTATGGGTGTCAGGGTGTGGGTGTGGATGTCAGCTTTCCTTAACCTTACCTCCCCCCCCCCCTTCCCACACACCGACATCTTCAATATTTTCTCGTACGATTATAAATGAAACAAGTCGTGGTAGCAATCTAATCAATCCAGATTAGTGAGTAACGGTTGCACAGTACTTCGACAAGAACAAATAACATAATTTTGGCTGGAGGTTATCACGAGGGTATTTGGGTGTTGGCGTGAGTGAGTGGGCTGACAGAAGTACAAAACTTTACCATAATGTTGATGTATTCTCTGATTGACTTGATAAATCCTGCTCAACAAGTAAATTTCTAGAAGTTAATATGATTGTTTTTATAGTAGCATATAGCACATTTGAGTTTTAATTGTATACGGTTTCTTTTTAAGGTAAAGTTCTATATATATACAATTTATATATTTACATATATTTGTATAAAAGTGTGATCGACGTTTCGAAGAGTTAAATCTTCATTATCACGATATGCGTGAGAGTGAAAACTACAACGATTAAGGTTGAGATGGATCATATATATATAGATAACAAAGAATGTTCTGTTATAGTTCGTCCGTAACGAATGAGATTTAGTTACAAACACCACCAATAACGAATGAGAGAGATAAATAAAGGTTTTTATTTATTTCAAGACTTCCATGACGGGTGTGTCTGATTGTCGCTGTTAAGTTATTTGGTGTTTATTTATTACTTTTACTTTTAGTTTCTTGGTTGTTATCCCTTCGCTTCTATTTTTTCTTTACTGAGTTCAACAATACAGTGATCAAATTCTTGATGGTCATATATTTTAAGTATAGGCATGGAATGAAAAATAGTTGTTATGCAACTTAAAATATCATTTCAAAGAAAGAGAAATAGAGAAAAGAAAAGATAAATGCACAAACAAACCAATGTATTTAAACATATAGGTCAGGGGCATTTGGATATATTCCAAGAGGAGAAAATATATAGACAAGCAGAAAAGAAAAAATATAGAACGAAAAGCAAAGAATTTCTGTTAACATTAATGGAGATAAAATAAATTAATGATTAATTTAGGACTTTAAGCCCACTAGACTTAACATCATCGTATACTGCATGTATTTCCACATCATAAACATTAGAAACATTCTCTGTATAACTATTAATATTTCTTCACTTAATTTTAAGTTATAGTAGGTAAACATTTTCATTCTTATAATCATTAATATAAAAGAACATATTCCATTAGACATAAGTCACCAATCCACTGTGGACGACGAGCTGTTTATGGTGCTCATTATTAAAAACCAATTCTACTCAAATATCCAACGATTACACTGAGTGAATGTGAAGTGAAAAGTGTAATTAACACTTATGTAATCAAAAAATATCACATGATATCGGACACTGTCATTTCATTAATTATAACCTCCAACTAGACATTATTCAAGCGGCTATCTCACCCAAAAATACGAAACGTTGCAACTATCAAAAATGCAGTAAAATGCAATAAAAATTAACAGTCAACATTAATCGAATATTTTCCAAGGTAAAAATATCTTTATATCAAATCAATTATATAGTTCATTCAACTGAAAATAACATAGAGAACTATACTTCAAGTTAATAAATCTACTTTAAAAAGAAACATTTCAAAACTAAATTGATTTTTTTATTATTAACCTAGATAAAATATGACTTTTTTATAGGGAATATTTAGCAACTATTTTAATATTTTCTTAACACATGTACATATTTGTATTCATAAATGAGGATGTATTAAACTATTTTTTTGATTAATTTATTTGGTAGGGCGAACTGTCGACTTGTGTTAAACAATTGCTCAGAATTCCATATCTCAAACAGTGTTTTTTGCAATCAACTCCAACAACAGCTAAAATATTATAAATTTCATTCTGTACCTATGAAGAGAGACCAAACGGTATTCTA